GTCAACGAAAATGCGCTATGCGGCTTCACTGCACTAATGAAACAGGAAGTTTCCTTTCCGGTATCAATTGCTTCGCCTACAGATCGCACGAAATGTAGTTAAATTCAAAAAGTGTCATAGCAAAAAAGAGCATTAAAACAACGGAAGGAGTTCGGCGTTTTAAGTTGAAACTTTTACAGCCTTTTTGAAAATGTAAATAAATCGATAAATTAATCAAAACAGCTTTGGAAGAGGATATTTTGTAGTGTCGCGCCAACAATAATAAAAAGATAACTGTCTAGCGGAGTACCATGATTACATTCACTAACAGAGGTATACATGTATACAGGATATATATAAATGAGGACAGTTCTGATAAAAAGTCTTCCGTTGTAGCCAAAACAATTAGGTAGGCTCATTTAAACTCGGTCTAGAAAAAACATGAATATAAAAACCGGTTCTCGTATAAAAGATTAAAACGGGGCCAAGAAAAAAAAATATTGTAAAACTGGACCTGTAGCCTAACACAATATAAACCACGTTCCTTCTAGGGAAACAGAATTTGATGTAACAGATCTACAATGCACTCAACAGTTTAAAGTGAAATGATTTCCTGAGTTGTAGCCAAAACACTTAAGTATATTTTATTAATTGCGTGCTTTCGAGGAAAAAGTGAGTAATTAATGATGAGCGACTTAATAGAGCTCCTGAGCGCAACCCAAGTAATTTGGTGTATTTAATAAACCATGTCCGTTCTACAAATTATAGTTTTATTTAAAAAAGAAAAAAGCCAGCCGTTAAAACACTAAATCAAGACTTCATGAGTTGTAGCCAAAGCTATTTGTTTTATTCAGATAACTGTGCTCACTCTTGGCAAAAACAAATTTATTCAATGCATAAAAAGGATTTTTTTTAAGTCAATAAATATTGCATTGAAAAGAAAAAAAATAATTATTATTTTTCAGAGTTTTTAGACTGAGATGCAGTCTCAAAGCGGTTATGATGATTGAAATAACAAAAAAATTCTATTCCACTGAAGTATGTCAGGTCAGTTTCAGTTTTTCCAAAGCTTGCTTTTTCATTTCTGGAAAGCCTGTAGGTTTTACTTGGTGTATTCTGCGGTTCAGTTATATTTTCTATAAGCCGGACTGGAATTTTGATGACAGTATTTTACTTAAAAGAGCGAGAACTACAAACCTGGCAAATAGACGTATGCAAAATAAGGTTCCTTCTACATTTTAATTTCCCCATTTTGGTAAATATACTCTAGATACTTAAAAGATATATTTAACCTGCGAAACAGCACCTGTTCTTTAAAGGGGTTTGAGATACTCTCAACACCATAATTCTGAACACATTTGCTTTGAAAGACTTTTTTAATTTAGATTGGAAACCAAAATATTACTAATGCAAAGAATTATTGTAAGATTGATTACTCCCAATAAAGAAATACAGCAAAGCACAAACAGAAAAGTTGATTATTTTCGGCTTCGTGCCAGCGCCTTGACCGTTGCCGCAATAAACATCGACGAGGGCTGCCTTCTGGGCTGGGAACGCTTCATCAACCCACACAAAAAAAACTTCGGCCGGTGGTATTGAACAAACTACGATCTGGTCCGAAGATTCAGAGGTAGTTTCTAAGCCATCAGATGGCTTACTGTTCCCTTGATGTGAACAGGAATTAAATACGGCAGTTTTGATTTAATAAATCTGGTAGTTGGAGGGAGATTCTAGAAGTCGCCAAACCCGGTCACACCTTTATTTTGAACGTCATGCTCAAATTCTTCCGGCTATCCATGCTTTAATAAGCTCGACAGGCGTTTTTATTGTGCAATATTTCTACTCTCACACAAAACAGCGACATTTACTCTTTTTCTTTTCTATTAAACAATAAAATTCCCATCACTTAAGGTGTCTAATATTAAAGCAAGAGCGACGCATCGATGTAATCCTCTTTGCCCCGACTGTTTGAGAGGTTGAATGTCAGTTTTCATGTAAAGGGATTTAACTGATTTGATGCCGCTAAGGAAAGAGTGATATCAGTAGAATTTTCTGAATGCCGCATATAGCCTTTAAGACGTTTCTCGTCACTATTTTTCTGCTCTGATTGCAGATTCTCTCTTGCTTCTCCAAGTAACGCAGGCAATGCAAGTACAACTCCGTAAATTGCTCACCGCGCGCGGAAGGCTGCTTTCTTATCTGTTTGCCGTGAATGCAAAGAATTTGACTCATCCGGATATGTGAGCCACTTACAATGGAATTTTTAAAATGAAAGGAGATGAACACTTGAGCTATAATTCGTAAACAGGAAGATCGGGTGTTTGCTTTCTTTGTAAAGCCTTAACCTTCAAGCCATTAGGTCTTTAATACGGCGGATCAAAACCCCAAAACATTTTTGTTTCCTTTCGAACGGCATCTAAAAATAGGCGCTACTACAGAGTGCTTCTGAGAAGTGGTCTTTTGTGGTAATGTTTATTATGCTGTGAAACACTGATCTATGACCGCCAGAAAATAAAATAGTAAAGCACGGGCGGGCTGAATTGAACATTTATATATATTGTAAAACTTGCCTGAATTCCTTTTAGAGTTGTTTTGTTATCTTTCAAAATGAAATATAGAATTCTTTCCTTCTCAAACATCTAAGCCAAGGTGTTCTATCTCGGGTCAAAGTTTCCGAAAAACACAGGAAATTCAACGACGAAACATAAACTGCACATTAAACCCGACAACACTATGCTATTGTGTTCCACCACAAGAAAGCTGTTTCGGAACACTACAAAACAAGACAGGATTCTTTTGAAATTCGGCATCCCCCTGCTTGGAGCAGAGTATAATAGGACAATCGGTGCTTGCTAGCCTGTTCCAGGCGTTCAGAGAATAGAGTGCGACGCGAACGCCTAGAACAGTACCAGCAAAAACTGTACACCCGTCTTTAATCGGGTACTTCTCAAGGTTCGCCGCGCGCGGTTGCTCCATGTTCGCGCAAATACATTTCAGAGTTTTTTTCAAAATTAAGTTCAGAGACTTTGCACTTCGATTAAGGCCCTCTACAAAGTCAATGACATATAAACGTTATATTGAAAGTATTCGCTCTGGTTTGCGAATTTCAGTATGTCAGTAAATTACCTTTTTAGGCAGTCTCAGAAACACCAGCCAAGACAATGACAAAAACTGCCCAAAGTTATTAAGGGTTAAGTATGATGTAAACCACAACAACCAAGGTCACAGGCAAGTAAGGTATCCGAAATGAAAACGTCCGTGTAATGATGCCCAATGTAGCATGGATGGGGATGTGGATGGGGTTAACTGATGTAGCTCAAAATTGATGAAAGTTTAGCTGTCAGTTTGTTGAAGGTTATGCATGACTTATTTATGAATTGCACTTTTCTGAACGGTAAAATAAGTGTTTTTTGACTTAGAGTTGAGAAACGGTCAACATTTTAAATGATAGGTACGAAATCCCCGCAAATACAGCCGATATAGCTGGAAGTTGCTCAAACCAAGCTGCAAGCTCAGAAATGAAGGCTTTTTTCACTGATAACGGAGACCTCAAAGCCAAAGAATACAGCTGCTGACAAACATGGGCTAAGATATCACCACCTAGCCGAGAAATTGCCTCAAATTTAACTGGTACGTAAGTATGCAGGCCCTCCTTGAAGACGAGCCCCTTATAACAAAATGGAAACTAAAAACGTTGGCCAGCCTTAACTTTCACGTATTTTCTTCGTTAAGCGACTATGTAATAATCGTTAAAAACGTTGGCTGGCCTCAACTTGCAATTATTTTCTTCCTTAAGCGGACACCATGTAACAACAATCGTGAACGTCAGTGGACCACTGAGTCCTAATCATCTTTCCTTCCTACATCTGCTATATGTTCGGTAAAAGAAACCTGTACTTAGTGGACAAGTCGTCGAGGGTCCCAGGTCGCTGATTCGGAACGTATGTGCTCAGCTAGTATATGGTAAATGCATATCGATTCATTCAGAATTGCTATTAGACAGCCTTCTCAGTTTCAACTTAGACATTCTCGATGAGTTAATAAACGAAGTTCTTACTTATGAACCTTTGGTCAATGGAAAAAAAAAATGCAGTCCTATCCGAAATGTTTTAGCTTGACCGGGAGAAAGAAGCAAGCGAAAAGGTCGAAATTATGCAATAAAAACACAAAGACTTTGTGAAGTAAACACGATTATTTGCTTGACACTGTGAAGAGTTAAACAACAGAAGTTTGGACAGAGATTCGACCATTACAAAGTACTGAGCAGAAAAACGTCAAATTCTCCGGACACATTAAGGGTTGTCAAAAAGTCAAAAAATGTCCGGCCACCCTCCGACGTAGAAAAAGAGCCCACATTTCAAACATATTTGCATCTATTGACAATAGATCTCGAATCCATGAATAGCTAGGCACACAAGAACCGACTGATTAGAAACAATTCAACACTTTGGTCGATCAACAATTCTGAAGAGAAATCAGCTAATTATGTCAATGCTATAAGAACTTGTTCATCAAAAGATACATACTACCGCTATCGAGGCAAATACACTTGAACGGTTTGCCGGCCAGCTTTATACAAGGGCGAAATAATTCATTCTCTGGCAATTTGAGTATTATTCGATGAGGCATGACAGATTAGAAAACGAATGTTTGCATTGGTGTAATCTGTTTTGTACTCTATTGTTAACAACACTAAGAGCCGAACTTAAGAGTATAATAATACAGTAATACGAAGTTTACTCTACACGTTGTCTACCGGTTTTTAAATGTCGCCAAACAAAATTCTGTCTGCTACATCCAAACACATTTTCATTGTTTGATGTCCAGAACTTTCCTGTGCCAAGAGCTACGTGACAACACAATCGATGATTTATCTTTGTGTGTATTATAATGTAATGTAAAATGCTTATCTCCTAAAAATGACCACTTCACGCCTTCCGTCAAGGAATATTCAAAGCTCACCACCTCGTAGCGCCATTTTGTCACGATAAGAAAGTTTCCGAGACACCAAAATAATAAAATTATATCTCCGTTTCTTCGAGTCCCGATACTGAAGACCAGTCACAACTTCTTTCGCAATTATGTCCGTCTGTACATGTATTCTCAACGTCTGTCAATTCTTCTTCTATCGACGAGCTGCTCGGAGAATGTTTAATTTCCATTTCAAATGCCGGTTCATTGACTGTTTCAGTCAAGTTTTCTTGTTCAGGGGGTTTTTCAATAACCTCGGTCGTTTCCTCCGGTTTTTCGTCTTCTTTAAGGAGACATTCTTTCTCGCAAGTACAACCAAATAACTCGCCGCTTGTTGAAGTCTTTTCAACGTCGCTTTGTCTCGTATCTTGCGAGCTCTCCGTTCTCTCCCATTCGATGCTCGCGCCCAAGTGACAAGATTGGTTGCTTTGTTTAAGTCTGTCTGGAGTGCGACCTCGGCTGCTAATCGCACTAGCCGCCGAATTACTCCTAGAATTCTTAAAAACATTCATATTATAATACAGTCTGTTTGCATCCACATTTGAAATCACGTCAACATGCAGAGCAGACATGCTATTTTCGCTCAATCCCTCGTGATGAAGCCGTCGATTCGCCACTTCTTGTTGATGAAATTCGCTCCGAGCGTCCCCGAAAGCCTTATTAATAACCTTGGCCAAGCTCTTCGCTTCGTTGTTGTTTTTGCACAACACGGCGTTGCATTCCAACACTTCGGCTTTCGTTCCGAACTGATATGTAAAGAAGAACACTCTCTGATTCGCTTTATACACACCGGAGAATCGAATCTTCCGCAACAAGAATACTTTTTCCTCGTCTTCGGTGCTGTCACTGTCGCGCAAAGACAGCTCCTGTTTAGTCAATTTCAGCGAGTAATGGTCTAGAGATTTCAGCGTGGATTTCTTGGAGGCGAAAATGGCTTTAACAGTGTCGCAAATTTCAGAAACACCGGGACTACAAAGCCGTTCACATCCAAGGTACTTGACGGAGTAGGTTGGCGTGTGAATACTCAAATCTACCGTGTGGTAGTCCCAACCCGCGTCACCATCACTATTGAATCGTGCTCGAAGTGGACGACAAGAGAAAAGTCTAATCATGACCCGAGAATGTCGTGCTTGGTAAATAAATATACAGTCAGTGTACGAATCTTGCTAGTCTCGGCATGCCGTGTGAATTAGCTCATGAGGGGTCCTTGCTCGTCAACAGCCAACTAAAGCCGTAGTTAATTCCATGTTGTAAAACAAGCGACAAGCATAGATTTTGCGAGTTATTCTTTCCCCCCAAATGAGGAGATTGAAGTCAGTGATGAATACTTGCGACACACAACCCGTTGAAAACAAGATAACTGACAGTTGTATAATATGCAAACTCGACACTCAACGTAAGGCGTTTGCCTTCTTGCAAATCGATTCTTCTTGCTTCCGCAGACAAAACAAAGATCTTCTAAAACAGTCTTCGTGGTGTTTAATTCGCCTCAAGTTCACATTCACGCGAATTCTTGTTTCCTTCGCGTGTGCTCTTTCCTCAGAACTCCAAGTAACTATAATCGAATTTCACGATAATAATCGAGAGATGTCGATGACATGACACGGTTTAAATTAATCATTACAGCTTGCTCCAATGCGTCCGTTCTCTGCGATTGCGTAAAGTATTGTTTTCAGCCAAAAATTATTTATTAAAGCGCCGATCGCTTACTTCTACGTTCGTAATAGGTTATTCCCTTGGGGCATGTAAAAAGATACAACGGTGCTAATAACCTTCAAATCAAAAATCCTCTTTCCTTATGTTACAATGTGACAGTCGTGTCGATCGTGACGATTGTTTTTGCCCAAATCAAACACGGTTTGTTTGCATTAATATTCCATCTGTCAGTCTGTGTTTCCTGACTGATGGTTACGCGTGTCACAAATATCCACTTGCTGTTTGAAAGTTAAGAAAGGCTCCAGAGAATTCAACATAAAATGTTTCCTCAATGGTCTTCTGAATGTTTGATCAGTCCAATACTTTATGAGAATTAAAGATACGATCTTGGAAATTATCGTTGCTCATTGGCAAGTTCTCCGCTGAATAGGTTTAATAATTAATAGAGGCAAGAAAGGAGAGGTTATATTTTGATAACAGCAATTAAGAGATTAAATTTACGTCAACTGTATCAGCTTACATGTGTTAAATCCGCTTGATCTCTTTTTTCCCCCTCCGGTCTCTCTGGCTTGTCAAAGTATCTGGAAAACATTCGAATTTTCACAAGAGGTTCTTGATGTCATGAGCGAGCGGTCAACACGGATCAGTCGACCGCAGAGGTTGTCAATACATTCAGCATATTTGCGGTGAAGTTACATCGCTATGTAAAGCGATAGCGTCTAGTCATAAAATGACGCATTTACTTATTGAAAGTTTGTAAAGTATGCGTATGATGCGTGACCAAGCTTTTTGTGTGAAGTGGGTTATTTGTTCCCAGATAGACTGCGTAAATTTCTTTTCGATGCTAAAAAAAACATCTGTTGCGTATTTTTTTGAGTTTGTCCGTTGTTCGATAAGCAAAAATTATTTTAACGTAGAGAAAAATTCATTTGTTTTCAATGACTACCAGCTAGTCAATCATTTGGTTTCCGGAGAACAACACCTTTTGCACGCTATAAGTTAACCGCTGACCAATATCTATCTCTTTACTCACGATCACAGGGCTAAATAATTTGATTACAACAACAACTTTATTGACTTAATCTTCGACATGAAGATTTCAGTACCAAAACAGTCAATACAATGACAAATGAAACTAAGTAAAATAAAAGTTCAGTAAGAAAGAAAGTAACAACAACTATATATTGAATATAATCATAAAAGATAAATTACTTGGCTATGTACGGCTTCTACGCTACTGATGGAGAAAAGACTATCGACTGTAAAGGGACACCCAACGACAATTTTTGGAAAATATCTGTTCGGAAGACGATTTGAGATCTAGAATTTTCGGACCATTTGTTGTAAAATTTCTTGCTTGCCTGCCTCTCCTAGGATTTTCGAACATCTGAAAAATAGTATAATTGCCCATTTTTAACAGATTTTTACCCTAAAAAGGTCACCTAGAACTTTCGGGAGCCTTTTTTCTGGCTGAAGTTTTCGAAAAGGCAAGTTTTGATTCCTATAATTTTTGGATCACTAGACTTTCAGCTAGGAAATCCGAACAGATGAAAAGTTTTTAGGGGACAAAAATATGCCTATATCTACCGTTTTTTATGGCCTTGAACTATATTGTCGTTGAGTGCCCCTGAGTGTAGCGTGTGTGAGCACACATGATTTAGTGTACACACTATGATCAATAGCCCAGGTCTAGTCATAGGCTCTTGACGCTATTGATACACTTTTCGAGGAACACGTTCCGTCTGTTTTTCGTCATTGATTTTCCGTTACCCAGAAGCAAGAGCGCATGTCTAGACATGATATCTCATCTGAATTTAGTATAGAGGAGATCATGACTGCAGAGACCTCGGTTATACGCCTTAACTTAGGGTCTACTAACGAAGATTAGATAAGGCACATTTTAGTGAAACTTTTTTTTACATTACTTTAGCCAGACTGTTTCTTTCTTCAATTGCGCCGAGAAAAGACGATTTTTGAAAATTACAGCCATCTTATCTATTTCACTTCAAAAATTGTTTCTGACGTTTAAGCCGTGTTAAAGTTCTTTTTGGCAACTTGAGCTTCAAAACGTCCTTAAGATAGTCTAAAATTGAGTAGGGTGGGGGGCAGTTGTTTTACAGTTGGATATAAACATTAAAAGGTAATGTTGAGTGAATATAAGAAATTGGTATGTAAGATTTTTGCTGACGTTTTAATTGACGGTGTTTACCAATACTTCGGCGAAGATTTTGTCATGCGCATTGTTATGATTTTACTGCCAATTAACTTTGTTGGAAAATCAATTTTTACCCACCAGTAAATACTAACAATTTCGCCGCTTCCTTGGTACTTGTTGTTAAGGTTGCTTCATTATCGCTAAATTTTTGTCTCCCAAACCTTTGACGAAACGAGACGAGCTAGCTATTTTGACTCTCGTACTAAAACAGTGTATAGCCAAGTATCCAAGGACATTGCGAGTTCCAGGTGCCAATCAAGAGCATGGAAAAAGTTAAAGCTATCCACTGATTTGGTAAAAACTAATGTCTCGTAACAATAATAATAATAATCAATACTGATAACAAGACGAATATGAAGAGCATAAGTAATAAGTCGAAGTATTTTAATAAGTACTAATTTATTCACCTGTCACAATAGGGGTTATATTGACATAATAACAGCAAATAAGGTCAAATAAATAAATAAAAACTAATAAAAATAATTTTAAAAAACACTTGAAGCCGTAGAATAAAAAAATATAAAATAACCATGCCGAATAAACATGGTTTTTGTCTACTTTACCACAGGATTCAGATGGACAATATCAATATTTAGACCACACCAATAACGCTCTATGCCTTGATAATTTTTACTCGCACAAAACAGTTACCATGAAATGTTTTTGTTTAATCTGTTTTTCGAAATCTTACCTGGTTCTTTTGGTCGTCGTTTTTTTAAAGGAATGTTTTAATAAAAGCAAGAGTCAGTTTTTCTAAGCGTACGTGTGCCTGGGCGTATTTGTTCAAAATTGTCATTTCCGGTTAATTTTTTTGCTGCTGACGTATTTTAAGGTTCTGACGAAAGAACCACCTTTATTTTTCTGCTCCCACGCAATGCCACGCAAACTTTGAGTAAAATTTTATAACGGAAGACAATCGGAAATTATCCAGCTTTAATACTCAAAAAGAAATTGCTCTATTCTACTCAAAATAAGTTGTTTCCTCTAGACGACTTCTTAAAGCTTTCTTTGCGGTTAAGCGTGATTACACTTCTGCTTCTTCCTGCTTTCGTGACTCTCAAACCATTTTCTAATCAACCGTGATAAAGTTTGTTTTAAATTGATTTGCTAATTCATCTCTTACAGCTTTCTGACTGTCGAGGCAACTTATACTGGGACAACCAATATCCCTCCATTAGAATATCTCCGTTAACGTGAAAGCACTCTCTGTATTTTCCCGTTTTTAAGGCCCGTGATCTTTATTCAAAACTTTATATCAACTTCAGGAAGTTATTGCTGAATATTGCCGTCTTCAGGCGTTCTCATCAGGCGTCACTCCTGAACCCACAGGGCTCCCAAATTCAACATGTGGGCTCAGTAACCATGGTAAAGCGATAAAATGCCCCGTAACTTTACGATTTATAAGGTTCCTTACAGGAAAAGTAAGAATTCGAGGTCATTCAAATTCCTTGTCTTAGTTTAATACAGAGAGAAGAAATTGAATAAACTTAAGTACAAGTCCTTTTAAGAGCACAATCTGGTTATCTTTTAGAGAAATTGTGTTGATTTGAGTGGGTAATATTAAGACTATATTAGTATAGGTAATAGCATGATTTGTAGTGATATTTGGCATAAATACCACAAGTGATATTTCAAAATCGTTATGCTTAATTTCACGAGCCGCCAGGCGAGTGAAATTTGAGACAATTTTGAAATATCAAATGCTATTATTTGTTTATACTACTGCCCGCGAAAGGTTTGTAATTTTCACATGTAGGTATTTCAAATTAAGCTGAAATACCACTGCTCTGAGCCAATCAAATTGCAGAAATTTCTCACGTAGTAGTATAAGGGTAGAAAGACATAATAATAGTCCACTAATGGGATCAGAGGCACCTTGTTGTGGTGGTGGACTATCTGGTATTTGTCTACTGAATATTCACTTCATTTTTTAATTTTTAACAACCCCTTATCCTAATTCCCATGCATTAAAAACACTTAAAAAATTATCCAAAAATTTTCGAAAAATTAAGACGGAATCCATCAGGAAATTGAGTAATTTTAATTTTCAATGGACAAAAACCTTGTACCAGAATAATGTAAACAACATCGCATTCTTTTTTTTATATTTTTCAAGAGTTATAGATGTAATAACACCAAAGAAAATTTCTTTTGAGGGCTCGAGAAAACGAATGTCAAATTTCACAAAACAGTGACATCTTACACATGAAATTTTCACAATTTTAACTGTGTTTTCAAAATTCTTGTGAAATTTGACATTATTTTCTCAGGCTCCCATGAGAAATAGTCTTGGGTGTTATTATAGATAATCAAGAGAGATAATAAATTATATCCATTCTATCGCCCTTGAAAAACGTAAAAAAATGCGGTATTGTTTAAATTGTTCTAGTACAAGGTATTTGTCCACTGAAAGTTGAAATTACTCAATTTCCTGATGGATTCCGTCTTAATGCACCAATCACTCCTACCTAATCAAGTCATTTTTGGATCGAATGAAATCTTGGCAAGATATTCAAGGAAAGCGGCGAAAATAAACGAGAAACAATGCTTTTAACAATTTCAGGATCACAGAAGAAGCTCTCATCGCTTCAAAAACACAGAAGAAAAAAAAAAGCTTCGAGCGATTTTTGTAATTTCACTTTTCCGCAATAAGCTGAGATAAGGCAAATTTTTCGCATTTTTACATTGTCCAATATGAATTCTTAAAGCTGCTAAGGGAATAAATTAATTTTAATGGGGTCTATGGGTCTATATATAACGTGGTCTCCTTTGCAGCCGCTCGGGCTGGGTGGGGGCGGGTAGCTTGTGTGCCTACGGCCCTAGCGGCATCGAAGGAGACTAGATGCAAGAGAGATATTACTGACTTCCCAATAAAAAAACATATTTCGTTCACTATGTTTAAAACATTTCGCACAATACGTTGGACTAAAATGTTAAATGTGTTATAAAGCCTCACTTTTTAAACCTTCTTGGCAATCGCCCTTCCGGACACTTTCAACGATAGTGTTTCATTTCATGAGGGCAGGAGTCGATTACTCGGCTCCTGCATAGGGTCATGGAAGCCAGATTTAATTAAGTGTTTAACTAATCACATCATGGATCACTGCCACTTGACCACCGCTGAGCAAAGGCATAATTAAGTTCTCGCTGAGATCATGATTCCAAGATCTTCCAACACAATGTAAAAAACAATTGTCTTTAGTTTCTAACCATTATCTGCAGTCCTGAGCTCTTAACTTCTGAGTCTGTGGATAAGTGCCATAGTGTCTTTGTGGCCATTCAAATAAAACCTCTTCGACTTCTCCCACAGTACTTTCACATGGTACTGTTTATTTACTATATACTTAAAACTGTCGAGTCTCTATGGATGAAATCCTATGGTGTTACCTTTCAAATGACTTTACAAAGTCCTATTCCTTTTTTCACCATTTTGCAAGATTTTTTTAATTTTTCTATTAGATTTTGAATTGACCACCTCTGGAAGTGAACTTTTTAGAATCAGTTTTAGCAGAATCTAGTGGTACTTGGAAGCCAATAACGAGAAGTCCAAAGACCACTGCAAAGCTGATCAGAACAACGTGTATTGTTTTTTCATAACAATATTTGGGTTGGCCATGCCAGCCTTCAGGGGTACCCAACGTCGATTTTCGGAAAATATCTGTTCGGAAGACGATTTGAGATCTAGAATTTTCGGAACATTTGTTGTAAAATTTCTTGCTTGCCTGCCTGTCCTAAGATTTTCAAACGTCTAAAATGTAGTATAGTTGGCCATTTTTAACAATTTTTTACCCTAACAAGGTCACCTAGAATTTTGGAGAGCCTTTTTTCTGGCCGAAATTTTCGAAAAGGTAACTTTTGATCCCTATAATTTTCGGATCACTAGACTTTCAGCTAGGAAATCCGAATAGAAGAAAAATATTTGCGGGATAAAAATATGCCTATATCTACCATATAATTACTAAAATACGTTTAACAATGCTATGTTTAAGTGGTTTTGAACTATAGTCTCGTTGGGTGCTGCTGAGCCTTCTTCAGGTTTTCAGATGTTACTCAGAACTTATGATAGGAATCACAATAAAAAAAACAAACAAACAAATAATACATGTTATTCTGATCAGATTTGCAGTAGTCTTTGCACTTCTCGTTATTGGTTCTTAATATTTTGGATGATTAGATCTTTTTCTAGAGATACAACGTTTATAACTAGCAAGATCTTCGTCCAAGGTTTTTGCAGTCATTTTAATTCCTTTTATTATGCAGCTGTGGACGCCTCCCAGGAGTAGTTCGGTCTTGCTAAACTGATGAGTTTCCAGACTAGTGGATGAAAACTGTTGAAGGGCTTTTTGTGCTAAGGGCTGGTATGGGAAAACGAAAAAAGTGAACAAGGATGTGAAAGCTCAAGACTATAGGGAACATGTAAAATGACAATTCACAGGACATACAAAATCGGTCGATTTTTACCTCGTCGCCAGGGCTCCCACCCCTCCCATTTTTCTAACAGAGAAGCCCTGGGGACGATATTAGCCGCTGTATCAGGATCACCGATTAAAAAAAATGAAATTTGACCACTCTTAGGTAATCAGGTAATATAAGACTGTAGAATAATATAAGAAAGTGATATGTCTAAAGTTAAGAGGTCTTTCACTTTGAGACAAGAGAATTCAAATCAAAACTGGTTGTTCTTCATCATATTTCGGCGACGACCACTACCTAGATCATAGCGCACCTGGCCCAATGATTGACCCAGAAGCTTCTGTACCCAGAAAAAGACACAGCAAAAGCTTGGTTTAAGAAATTGCTTTTATTGAGTTCAGTTCTACAACAAGAATCTCAGTTTTTCACTAAAAAGTAGTTGTCACCACGTGATCTTTTTCTGAGAATCATGAATGTGACACCGAAAATGCTCAAACATGTCATGGCAGCCATGGCTGCGAGCAGCGGAAAATTGCCTCCAGCTACAAAGCAAAAATTAAGACAAACAACAAGTTAATAAAACAACTAACTAATGTTATCATCAGCACTGTATTCTTTTAACTAATTAGGAATGAAATAAATATTGCGGGTCCTTTCTTCATTTAACTTGTTCTCATAATGTAAAGTTGCAATTAACATTACGGGATTTAAACTGTTCGTGCTGTCTCTTTGGTTGTTTGCAACAAAAAACTGTAGTACTGGAGCTTCAAGGCATTTGATTGAATGGCAGGGGTCAGATTTAGATGTCTATTTCGGGGGTGGGGGTCATCCTATAATGGCCTATAGCTCGAAGGCTCTGCCCAAATGGCCTGGGCCTCACTTTGTTAGCCCTCAGGTTTATGTAAGGCCAGGGATTTCACTAGTTGAAGTATTTAAAGGGTAAAGGGACCTCGGGAAGGAGCAATGTCCGTTAAGAGAAAGGCGACTGTCGTGCAAAATATTGTGAGTTTGTAATACCTGTAGAATCCATTTTGCTGTCAATAGCGAGATTATTGTCTGGTTCCTTGTATTCCTTATTACGATCCAGCGTCATTGGTCCTTGCACCAAGGAATATATCTTGTGATGTTGGACTTCACGTCTGAGCCGAGGCTTCTTTTCACATCCTCGTGCACATCTGGATTGCGGATCTGTCGCGTTGCAGACGATCACGTGACAATGAACGAAGACAAATGGCTCATCCACAAATTCAAAGGCTTCCAAACTAAATCGAAATGTGCCCGTGGGGGAGGGATAGAGTTCCACTGTATCGTCAACCGGACATCTAACCAAGGAAAAAGTGTTTATGTCAAAGTAAAAAATTAATGAGAAAGGCAATACAGTAATTCCTGATAATGTTACAGATACCTTTTTACGGACAAAAGTAGTTCAAGTATAGAGCAGAGAGTTTTCATCATTTATAAGCTGTGTTTTGCCGAGGTAATAAAGAATAGTCATAAGATGGTTGTCTGAAGAAAGTAATGACGAAAGTTCTTTAAGATTCACCCTTTATCTTTTCCTCATATCCTTTTTCTTTGGCTTAGTCTCGAGGTAGATGTGGAGAAAGCTGGAGTGGGGTTTCGTGTTGTACATAGTGAAAAAGATAATGAGGATATTATTCGAAACACTGTTATATGAACAGAGCAATGACAAAAATGCTCTTGTCTTACCCATTATCCATTATGAAATGTTTCTTCGAGTTTTTCTGATCAGAAGTTGGTGTTGCGAAACATTTTTCAGCCAAGATTGATAGCCTCTTGTCTTTGCTCTGAACTTTTGCTTGGAAGAACATCAATTGTCGGAGTTTAAAGGACAATGGGTAGTCATTGGCACTATATGATGTGATGAATCTGAAAACATAACAAATGGTAAGGTACTTCTGTTATCAAAAACTGGCCTAGTATGTTCAGTATTTGTTGTCGTGCAATAAAGGTAAGTTGCTAGTTTTAAAAATAAGAGTGAGTGGAAAGGCATTTTTCAGCGTCCAATATCCTGACGGTCAACCCAGTAACTAAGAGGTATTTTACAAAGTCGCTTAAAGTCGATTTGAAGCCTTATCCTTTTTGACTTTACAATTAGAAATAACCATTGGAGACACTCGGTTCCCTGGTCTTCCACATAAAAATATATAGATTTCTACCGTTACAATACCCCTGCAAAGCACAAGGTTGTTTTAGATTAATAAAAGGAAAGGATCAAGTCAAAGGAAATTAAGATGGTTTGAATAGGGTTTAGTTTTTATTGTTATTTAGCCAAAATTTTAAGTGTCTGCTATTAACCTGGCCAATTTTTTAATGTTTACTGTTTCCGGAGAAAATACAGTTAAGTGCTTGGAGGCCGGTTTTTCGTGAAAAAAAAATCCTATCTGTAAGCTGTAAAAAATATATCTTTCATATGTGAAATTAGCGACAAAAATAAAGTCAAGATTTTTGGAGGGTTTCCTTGAAAATCTTCGGCAGTTTTCTGACATCTTCGAAAATCTTCTCCAGTTTTTGGGAATCTTCGGTAGTCTTCAGAAATCCTTTGAAATAATCGGAAATTGCCGGAGAATGGCCGGAAACTCCTTGAAATGCTAAACCAAATAATATTGGCCTTTTTGGAGCCGTCCTTGTTTCTCTCTGGAAAAAATTACTGTTACGGGAGGAGCTGATTAGGTGAATTTTTTACTGTTAGTGTTAAAATGCCTGAAATTTCAATGTTTCATGTTAGAGAGCCAAAACTGAAGTGTTTAGTGTTATCGAGATGCCACCATTCAGATCCTCAAATAAGTGTTTCGTTTTACTGGCTATTTGTTTGTTTGTTTGTTTGTTTTAAGCAATGAGTATGTTTACGTTCTAATTTGTTTCAAACCTTTTGTTGTGGAATAATTCCAGCATAACGGTGAAGTTTCCTTTTCCTTTCTCCGAGAAAACCAGCTTTCGGTTTTCGGGCCTTATTCCAACGGCTGTGGCTGTTCTTTTATTTGAATAGTAACAACTGAATGGAATCTCAATTTCCCTGACACGGGTAATGATGTCATTATTTTTCAGCGGAATCTCCAGCACAGTGTTGCTATATACAATGGAAGACTTGGTGTGTCTTCGTGTTGTGTTGCATTTCGTCAGTGCTGTTGTCAGAGTGAAATGTGTGGCATTCTCAGTTGCTCCGCATTTTGGGTCCAAGAGACGAATATGCTCTCGGTCCATTCCTTTGAGAATGGGCTTGGGGATAGCGATGGACATCTTGTTTTGAAGGCAACGGACGAGCACGCCTTTTGCTGAAGAAAAAAATGTAGACGGTTTTTAATAAGAGCTGATCACCCATCTACAAGGGTCAGGTTATATCGTGGGAGATTTGCAAGAAATTTATAGGTTCATCTTCACGCCAATTATTCTCAGCTAAGTAGTAGGATTTTCATCAGATGAAATAAGAGGTGTCAAGCGAAGGAAGCTTAACTGCAAGATCAAATGCTGTACTAAATTCTGCAGTTGCTTATGAACACCAAGAATATCCTAAGAAATTCCTCTAAAGTAATCTGGAAGTCTAAAACACTTTGACGCTAATCAGTAGGAGATGGCGGGAAACGTCCACGGCAATCATCTTTTACCCTTTTCGAGAAATTAATTTTTGCGTTATCAAAAATTTTCTTTCAAAAAACAAGTAACAACTATTGTATGAGCTACTAACTGTTGACATTTGACATTGTCCATACAGTGACCACTATGTCCTGTGTTACCTTCACAAGTATGGTTGTCCTCAGCCAATGAGAGCTCTGCATCTGGGCAAACGCACTCGTAACTGCCAGGTATGTTTTCACAGTCGTGAGAGCATCCACCATTCTGCACAGCACATTCGTCAATATCTAAAAAGAAACAGTTTACAGCTATGAATATTTGTTATGAGTTGTTATGAGGTTCTTGTATTACAAGACATTTGCCATATCTTGGCTCCCTTCTTATTCAATTAGTGGGAGTGTTGAAAAAATACACGAGGAGTTAATGGGAAAGCGTGCGCTTGAGGCCTAGGTAGCATGCATAATTTTTTGGAGTCGCTCAAACTTCAACACAAATGTCTCTGAATAATGACGGAAATTAGGAGAATCGAAGGCTTGAAGAGTAAACTTGACACTCTATCGAAAGATTTACAAGAGCTAAAAGAACTGCTGGAAAAGAAAGAGTCCGATAGGAACAAGACAAGATGGCGCGGATCCATCGTTTGAGGAAGAGAGTTTGTATGTTATTATATTAAACACATTTTATTCTTATGTTGTTGGAAAAAAAGGAAGGTCTGAATAATTATGAAGACTACCAGCCAGAAAGAAAGAAATCTTACCAGTGCATGTCTTTCCATTTCCTGTAAAACCCTTTTTGCAGGTACAAGTGTAAGATCCAACAGTATTTTTGCACTTGGAATTAACGTCACAGGCATCAGCACCGGTAGAGCACTCGTTGACGTCTAAGAACAGAATATTACAAGATTAGTTTTGGATAAATCGTAAAATTCTTTGAAATCCTTTCATGTTTCTTGAAGGCATTTCACTACAGGGTAGTTATAAAGTATGTGAAAGCTATTCTGTTAAGCGTAATCATCTATTAATATTGTGTTGTTTGAAGGAAAATCTGAAAGTGGAGAAGAGCTTTTTCTTTAAGAAGGACAATTCAGTAAGATAATAAAATCTTACCAGTGCATGTTTTTCCATTTCCTGTAAAACCTTTTTTACAGGTACAGGCGTAAGATCCAACATTATTTTTACATTTGGCATTAACGTCACAGGCATCAGCGACGGTAGAACATTCGTTGATATCTAAGGTCAGAGTATCACGGGATTAAATCACTTTTAAATACATCGTTATATCTTACAAATTTTCTTTCAGGTCTCCTAACACACTTTACTATGGGGTTAAACAGTTTAAACTATGCAACAATATTATTACTAAGCGATACGCGTTATCGCTTAATTTGCCTTATTTGAAAGTAACTAGACTGGAAACGAAAACGATTGATTTTTTTCTTTTTGGAAGAGCTGGTCATTAAGCCAAAGTAAAAATCTTACCAGTGCATGTTTTTCCATTTCCCGTAAAACCGATTTTGCAGGTACAAGTGTAAGATCCAACAGTATTTTTACACTTGGCATTAACGTCACAAGCATCAGCGCCGGTAGAACATTCGTTGATATCTAAAACAGAGTATCACGAGATTTTTTCAGTTTATTAGATCGTTTACTTTTAAAGCTTTCTAAAGCAGTTAAATATGGTGTTATAACATTTTAAGCCTGTTAATGTAATGTATCAACCTGCTTTGATTATTTGAGAATAACATCTAATGTCTTGGATGTTCTGAGAAACAAAAGTAAATCTTACCAGTGCATGTTTTTCCATTTCCTGTAAAACCCTTTTTGCAGGTACAAGTGTAAGATCCAATAGTATTTTTGCATTTGGCATTAACGTCACAGGCATCAGCGCCGGTAGAACATTCGTTGATGTCTAAGAACAGAGTATCACGGGATTATTTCAGTTTTAAATAGGTCGCTATTTCCTTAGTGATCAACTTTCAGGCCTCCTAAAGTTATTTTGCTTTAAACAGTTCACAGTGATACCACTTAACAATCACTTTTTCGTTTGGAAGAGCCTGTGGTTACATGTCAGTTAAAATCTTACCAGTGCAAGTCTTTCCATTTCCGGTAAAACCCTTTTTGCAGGTACAAGTGTAAGATCCAACAGTATTTTCACACTTGGCGTTAACGTCACAGTCATAAGCACCGGTAGAACACTCGTTGACGTCTAAGCACAGAATATCACGAGATTATTTGAGTTTTAAACCGATCATTCTTTCTTAGAAATAGTTTCAAGCATTTTGAAGCCACTAAACAACTACACGGTTACACAGTTAAAAACTATGTAACAGTTATACCACTAAGCAATAATAGTTTATGTAACACGTTTCTTTTTCTTACCGGTGCATGTTTCTCCATTTCCTGTAAAACCGATTTTGCAGGTACAAGTGTAAGATCCAACAGTATTTTTACACTTGGCATTAACGTCACAATCATCAGCACCGGTAGAACATTCGTTGATATCTAAGAAAAGAGAATCACGGTATTATTTCATTTTTAAACAGATTGTAACTTTCTTTTTTACTGTAAGTATCTTAAAGCCACCTCACTACAGGGTTAAACAGTTTAAACTATGTTACAGTTTTGGCAACACCATTGAGCGATATTAGTTTATGTTGCGTCATTTGATCGGAAGATAAGGAAACAGGCGATTGTTTTTCTTTGCATACGGAAGAACTAGGCAATAAGTCAAGTCAATCTTACCGGTGCATGTTTTTCCATTTCCTGTAAAACCCTTTTTACAGGAACAAGTGTAAGATCCAACAGTATTTTTGCACTTGGCATTAACGTCACAGGCATTAGCGCCGGTGGAACATTCGTTGATATCTAAGGACAAAGTATCATGAGATTGTTTCTTTGAAATATCGTTTGTTTTTAAAGTGTCCTAAAGCAGTTACATATGTTTTTACAACAGTTTACACCTGTTCATTTTATGTACCAGTGTTTATTTTTGAAATCGTTTTAAGCAAATAAGAGAATAATATTTATTGTCACGTATGTTCGTGGAAACAAAAGAATATCTGAACATTAAGACCATTCGTTTTGAATTTGAAAGAAAAAATCAGTGAGTAAAGTAAATCTTACCAGTGCATGTTTTTCCATTTCCTGTAAAACCCTTTTTGCAGGTACAAGTGTAAGATCCAACAGTATTTTTGCACTTGGCATTAACGTCACAAGCATCAGCGCCGATAGCACACTCGTTGATATCTAGGAAAAGAATATTGTAAGGTTATTTGGTTATTTCTCTAAAGTTAACTATCTAAATCCCAATGACAATAGTTAAATTTATCAAGATAAATATTTAACAATTATTCCTCGAGCCCGAATGGGCTATTGACTCAGAGGCCAGGAGGGCGAGAGGAATAATTGGTCAAAAATATCGAGAATAAAAAAATTTTAGCTAGTTAAAGCTAGACTTTAATCCTTTTTTGCCACCAAAAAGCGCGCACTTTTCACTACTAGTAGGCTATAACATATAGCCTAGTAGTAGCTCAACCAATCAGGACGCAGTATTGATAATAGACCACTAGTTGGATTTTACTTAAAGAAATTATACAAATCTGTGACTGTCACAGAAGACCAGCGTTTCAGAAAATTGAAAATTCGCCATCTCTAAGTATTCAGTAGAAAAAATAATAAACGAAAACTATTATCTAATGGAAAAAATAATTAACGCTCCCCTTACCTAAACAGCCTGTCATGTTTCTCCTGGCGTATCCAGATTTGCAAGTACAAATGTAAGAGCCCATTGTGTTTTCGCAGTTGGCATTTTCACCACAAACATCACCAGAACACTCGTTTACGTCTATGAACAAAATGTTATTTGAATACAAAATTGGCACATCTTTTATTTGAAAGCTGTTCGTGATGACTAAATACCATTGAATGTGTTACTATGACAACCCTAGGTCGAGCGATTGATGGAAGATTTGGGCAAATCCAGGACAGTAGCTGTAGAAGATTCAATACGCTTATTTCATAGTGACAATCATTTATTGCCTTGTAGGCATTCACTGATCAAGTTATAAATAGTGATAAAAAATAACCTCTGAATTATAAAAGATCAGTGTTCAATTTTTTGTTTATTTGCCACCCAGAACCTCTGCAAATTTTTAAGGCCGATTTTGCCATAAACACGCTGTTTGCAAATTGGTGAAAATGTCTTGGAATCCCTCGAAGAAACTAGCTCTTTCCATGTTTGAATTTAATAAGAATTTATATTATTTTACTGAGGCAAGATGCTAAAACATGTGGTGAACCAACTTTGGAAAATTATGTTTGATGGTTGTAGTTACCTTCGTCGCAGTCTTTTCCTTGAAACCCTTGTGCACATTTACAATAGTAGCTGCGGCCGGCACGAGACTTGCATTCACCTCCGTTTTTACAAGGGTTCTTGTAACACAGGTTTGCTACAAAACAGATGTACCCGGCTCTTACTAATACTTGACTCTAGATTAAGTTAAGAAATTAAGCAAGTCCACTCCTAAACACCAGAGTTTCTTTTTGGTAACCATCGCTTTTATACATGTTTCATCTTAAGCCCAGTTCAAAAGTCAAACTTTTCATGTCCTTAACCTAATGCATAAATTAATGTAATCTTTTTTTTGACGTAATAAGCATATATCAGACCATTGAACACCGTGAAAATGAATTGAGTTCGACTAATTAAGTTCCACGTCTGAAAAAAACCATCAAACTTTAATAATTTGGGTCGACCTAAACAGGTATTAATTTCGGTGCATGAAATGGTCGATGTTTGAACTGAGCCTTAGTGTATTGACTGATATAAAAACAGTATAATGTATACACGACAGTTCCGTGCCGTTATTCTTTTCAGACAATTTTCAATGTGATAACTGTATAATGGCGGTCACGGGTAATGCATAAAATCCATTGTTACTTTTCTCCTGTAGCCTTTTTTATTAGTTTATCACTTTTTCAAGATATCTTAAATCTTTCTGTTTGCTTTTTTCAAAACTGAACGTAGACTTTTCAAAAGCAGAACCTTTTTGTGGGGTCTGATCATTTTTCCCTTTATTTTGTTTCCTTCTTTAAATGTTTTCTAAACGCTTTCTAAAAGTACCTGTTTCACAGTTCTTTCCATAATATCCGCCCGGGCATACGCAAGAGTAGTCTTCACCAGCTACTACTGAGCAGTTTCCATCATTTAGGCAGGGGTTCTCGGCACAAGGACTCTGAACTGAAACACAATTTAAGTTATTTTTTAAGCCTCACAACAAACGTTGACTAAAAACAAAATTGAATGTTTTAAAACCATCAGTTGTTGTTGATCAGTGTAGATGTAAATTCATATGAGCAACAACCATCTTAGACTGCGAGCAGTGTCTATTTAAATGTTTCTCTTGAGTCACAGTAGCTCGAGTGCACGCTCGAGGGGCGAGCGGCGAAGCTTTCCGCGCGTGGTCCTGAGGACGACCGCTAGTGGTCTACAACCATGTACAAATACTACCCCGAAAACAAATGTACAAATACTTGGCTGAGAATTCTATCGCCAAACATAAACAAAGGAATGCAATTGTTATAAGACACAAAACTGACAAGTAAAGCTCTCATGAACCTTTTGAACAAGGATCTCAGGTTTCAGGTAGTGAGGCACAGATTTAGTGAAAAGGCGAAGATTGCGCGGAAACACAAGTATCTATGGCGCAAGAAAGGCAAACATTTCTTGTATTTCACCCAATCATTTTTCGGGTTTGATAATTAATGTTAAGTCTTATCCCTGTTTTAATTATTTTCTCTTCATTTTATTTTGATAGTGAGTCTAGGTAAATTTGATCTCTGAAGAAACATTGTCATTCAGGGAAGGCTAATCAAGAGGAACTAGCTCGTAGGCGAAGAATTTTCAGCAAATTCACTGAATATCGTCGTAAATATATTGTAGGCTAGTAAAAAATGGCCGAATTGAAAAAAAATTAAATTAAAGCATCTTACTTCCAGACGATTCCCCATTGAGCTGGTCCTCAATGTATCGTTCGGGAAAGAAATCCTCGATTCCGTCCACAAAACTCTCTGCTTCTTCTTCGTCGAAATTCAAAAACTTAGGAGCATCGTCATTAGTTCCGATTGCTCCTTCACCCAACAGGTCTTTTCCATCGGTAGTGAGCCAGTGAAAAGTCACCAGTATAAACACGACAAGAAGATTCATTATAAATCCACAGATTCACGAGTCCGCGTTGTCCCAAAGTTCAAAAAGAACAGACGCCTATGTGAAGCAAAGTTGGCCTTTTATAGTGCTTCACTTTTGGAACTTTACTGAGCTGAGTTTTCAGACTTTTCATTGGCCGAAAAAGTGTTAGCGTACATTTTTTTTCTTTCATTAAAAGGTTTTACACTGGATACAAAGGTGGTGATATAATTTGGCATCGCCCTCGGACTGAATAGTTTTTATATTCTTAATAATAAACAAAGCCTCGGTTTTTTTCCTATCAAACTTTCAAGGGCCAAAAATTTGCATTTTTAGTTTGAAATTAGCTCTTTCAACGCTTCAAAAAACTTGTTAGAATTTTTTTTGTTTAGATAACCCTGGTATTTCCCATACGACTTTTTGCGAAAAAATGCCTTTAGATATTTTGAAAAAGGGTTCTCATGTTAATTTAAATCATTTCTTTTATTTTCATCAGAATGATTGATTACAGAAAATGGTAAAGTATGAGGTGTGCGTCAAATTGTGATCGACTCTATTTTTCAGCTTTCATCCAGTCAGCAGTGAAAACACAAGGATTACGTAACCATTGATACTAATTAGCTCATTACCTGGAGGGTATTGTTAATTGTTTTGCGAATGTACTGACTGTCCCGCGAGAATGCTCAAACCCTCAACTGTTCTTTCACTGAAAAATATGAAACTCGATTTTAATTTTGGTTAGTTACTTCACTATCTGCAAAATTTGGTCTTCAAAGGTAGTTAATTACTGATCCAAAGAGATTTTATTTTTCATGTTTTCATTTGTGTGTTTTTCATTAGTTTTGTACAAAACATGTTTACGATAAAATGCTTGCGTTAATTTAATTCATAGTGTGTTATCTTTAACCTCTTTCTGACTGAGTTGTACTCACACCTCTTAGCAAAATAAGAGTTCAGTCACAAGACGTGTTAGCTTGACAGCTCATTGTAATTTTCAGTGCCTTATGGGATTGCCACCGAAAGCTTGAAAGCCAACAAACCCAAGGGTGGTTTTTGTCTTTGTGTTTTTAACTCTCATTTGCAACATCAGAGCTAAGCCATATGTTTTTCATTTGACAAGTTGTAATTGTCATCCTATTGTTTTTAAAACATCTCACTTTAATATGCAGAATGACGGAAACCTTTAAAAACCATCGGAACAACTCGGATGGCTTAATTACTCTTTGGATAACAGAGAGACGCGTCTCTGAGTTACTTTCCCATCTAGAACCATGGCCGTTCGGAAGTGGATATTTTTCATATTTTCGTTGGTTTTTACCTCGATCATCGCAGAGGAAGATCCTTTATGGCATCAACTTCTGAAAGACTCTGTTGTGATGGATGAAGAACGTGAGTGAAGTGTTGATATTTTTTCTAAGTATATACCCCAATCACACAGAAAACATTTTGGAGCTTTCATGTTTGAAACGACGATATCAGTTTCTTGTTTTCATAAGCCCTTTTTAGCTTCCCTGGTTATGGCAGTATCTGCAAGTTTTGAATTTTTTTACTTTCTGTTGTTAATTGCTGCAGTAGATTAAAATCTAATAATTCTCACCAACCCGGTTTACCGATGATTCACTTTAACCCTGGGTTAAGTGGCAAAATTTAAAACCACTTGAAATTTATTTGGCTACGAACGTGTCACCGGAGCTTTCTTCTGTTATAAGAAATTACGTCGAGAAATACAGTTATCCTAATCCTGCCCGGACCAAACTACAAAAGTCCAAACCAGTATATTGAAAAAGTGAGTAAAACCTTAGAGTCATATTCTCTTTGTTCAAAGTTAATAATATTAATTGAACTGGATTATCGTGGAGAAGCTTAATTTCTGTTAATTTACACTGCTAATTTGTCAAAACTTCTTAGATTCGAAACATCTAAACTATCTTTTCTTAGCCTGGGAAGATTATACCCCATACTGGTGTTCCAAGACGAAAGGTTTATCAAAACCTTTGGCTGACTCTGTGAAATCGTCCGAGGCTTGCATTGCTTTGTGTCTTAAGTCAAATCCCAACTGCAAAGCCGTGGAATGGTGGGAAAACGATGGCCAAGACTGCTTTGAATGTACAAGGCCATCTTTGAAGACTAAATTTACTGACACCACTGACGGAGGGTATCCACCGCACGTGCTTGTCAAACCAGAGAAACTTGCAGGTGAGTTGAAATCTTTTGCTGGAAAAGTGCTTGAAGTCAAAATTGGTTTAATAGTACCATGAGAAAGTACTGCTGAAGAGGTTTCATTTGAATGGTCACACCATAGGATCTCATCCACAGACTCGAAAGTTAGAACTGCATACTAATCAAATAGCATCATGTGAAAGTACTGCTGAAGAGGTTTCATTTGAATGGTAACACCATAGGATTTCATCCAAAGACTCAAAAGTTTGAACTACATACTGAATAAATAGTACCATTTTAAAGTACTGCTGAAGAGGTTTCATTTGAATGGTCACACCATAGGATCTCATCCACAGACTCGAAAGTTAGAACTGCATACTAATCAAATAGCATCATGTGAAAGTACTGCTGAAGAGGTTTCATTTGAATGGTAACACCATAGGATTTCATCCAAAGACTCAAAAGTTTGAACTACATACTGAATAAATAGTACCATTTTAAAGTACTGCTGAAGAGGTTTCATTTGAATGGTCACACCATAGGATCTCATCCACAGACTCGAAAGTTAGAACTGCATACTAATCAAATAGCATCATGTGAAAGTACTGCTGAAGAGGTTTCATTTGAATGGTAACACCATAGGATTTCATCCACAGACTCAAAAGTTAGAGCTACATACTAAATAAATAGTACTATGTAAAAGTACCACTGAAGAGGGTTAATTTCACTGGTCATACCATACTGGTTCGTCCCTTAAATTTTCTTTTAGTTCCAACAAACTTACATTTGTATGTTCACTGTACACATCATGTTCGGATATTTGGTAAATGTGTAGCAGCTGTAGACTCATTGCCTCGGAGATTTGAACAATACTGTGACGTTTAAAGCCCTGATCATGAATTGCACTTCTATTTCAGCTCCTACCAAATGTGACCCTAACCCTTGCATGAACGGTGCAACTTGCAGACCCGCTCCTCAATCACTTGTTGGATATAAATGTACTTGCTCACCTGGCTACGAAGGAGTTAATTGCGAGGACGGTAAGACCGAGTAATGCTAAATTAATTTGTTTAACCAGGTTACTGTAATTAGCTGGATTCTGACCTAAGTTCTTGACTAGGATCCTCATCTACAATATAGAGAAACTGATATATGTGTGTTTAGAGACGCCTTCCTCCCGTGCGTTGCATTTTCTCCTTACTATCAGAGCTTCCACGCTGTATTGCACTGTTGAGAAAACGACTTTTTGCCGTTTACGCCCTTAGTAAAATTAAAACTGAGATGTCTCGAAAAAATTAATATTCTAGGATTCTAGTAGATTACCTTTCATAGTCTTTTGAAAAGTTAGGATAAGATTTGTAATAATTTAGTTGCAATTTTTTGCTGTTGTTTCAAAGGTGTTACCCTTGGATGAAATATTATTCAAATGTTTTAATTTTGTATTTTGTTTTTTTGTTTTCTACTTTTTAATCTTTTTTCTCTTTCTTTTTTAGATGTAGATGAGTGTGCCAAAGACAACGGTGGGTGTTCACACAAATGCAAAAATACCGCAGGTAGCTTCCTCTGTTCATGCCCTGATCCGGAGCTGAATTTGGCACCCAATCGTCGTACGTGCGTCGGTAAGAAAACATATCTTTTGGAACTTTTTTACAAACAAAATAAAGGAAAGGAAAAGAATGAGGACGAAAACCAAAAAGTTAGTGAGAAAATTTAACGTTCCAGTAAACTTAATAAAATAAAAGCGATACATTTTCATGTGTAAAGCTAGCAGATCTAAATTAACTCCAACCTCAATTTCATTTAAATCATCCAAATTATTGGTTTATTTTCTGTGGAAAAATAAATGTTTTCCCTTTCGTAAATGTTTTCGACCAACAGCAGATTTCAGAGCTTTTTAAACGTTCATGGAAGTTCTTAAATTCTTTTGCTTCTATGAGGAACTAAGAAATCGTAAAGTGAAGCTATTAAGTCCATTGAAATAAATTACCTCTTTAAAAGATTTAACGTAAGCAAAACAAAATTTATCCTTTCAGCTTCTGGTGTTTCTGTAAAATGTCATCAAAATAACATGTCCATCACCCTGCCTAAAGCTCTTCTTCTCGGCTTAAATCGTGAACATGTCACCCTGCGAGATGTGAAGTGTGTTGCCACGGAAACAAGGACACACTTCACTCTTACGACTGCATTGACCGGCTGTGGTACAACCGCCAAACACAGAAGAGGTTTTGTGGTTTATAGCAACACAGTCTTGGAGATCCCAGTCGCAGATGACGCCATTATAACGAGAGTTCGTGAGATCGAGATACCCTTCAGCTGTTTCTACAAAAACTCGGGCGATGCTACTGCTGTTGGAGTTAAACCTGACACCAGGAAGTTGGTTTTTGATGAGGATGGAAAAGGAAACTTCACAGTTGCTTTGGATATGTTCCCAGATAAAAGGTCTGTTTATAATGGGTTTTAAATACCATTTAAACAAATGCTTTAGCTTATCCACGTTTCATTTTCATCACCATTCCTTAAAACTGGATGAAACCTTGCAGAAGTTTGGGCTCAATTTAATTGTATCCTAAATGTGTTTTAGTCCATTATGGAGTTTCTTGGGAAAAAATAAAAAAATCAGGGCTTTTCAGTTATATTTCATTACTTCTTGAAAATCATTTGTTGTTGTTAGTTTTCTATTTGTCAATGTTGATCTTTAGCTTCGAGGCAGCCTATACCCAGAGTGATTATCCTGTGGAAGTTAAGTTGAGACAGTACCTCTTCTTCCAAGCATCTGTGAAAACCAAGGACAAAACTCTGTCAGTTTTGGCTGAGAACTGTTACGCTACACCCTCCCAATTGATGACAAATATCATCATATCAAATATCATATCAACATGATGACAAATATCATCTCATCAAGAATGGGTAATTAAAAAAAAAGGACTTTTACCGCTTAATGAGATTAGATTTCGGAAATAGTTTTCAAACAGCTTAGTAACTAAATGATATATTTAAATGAAAAGACTAATTTTTACTTTTCACCTAGTGGTTATTTGTCATTACGAACAGCTTTTTCGTTTTTCGAATTGTGTACACTTCACAATCGCATCAAGACTTTTTAACACCTCAGCTGGAACTGTGGATTGTTTTAAATAACATCGTGATTTTTTTACGAAAAGCATTTCAGGTTAATGTTTTTGTGTTGGAGGAGTAAAAAAAATAAAGATTCTGGGACGAAACTACAAATTTGCTCTTAAATGCTGAATCTCGTGTTTTTTAAGTTTTCTTGTATTCCAGTCCAAGAACACAATAATGTCATTAGGAACTTCAACTTGTGATCTTTCAATATCTTGCTTCAATTTTTTTCCTTTTCATGGAAAACCATATTATAGCATACTAATAATTGTTGATAGTAATTGCTGACTATGACATTTGCTACCTTTCAGTTGCCCAGTTGATGAAACAACCATCACCATACAATCGCAAAAAGTGGGTGTGGATCGTTTCAGTACTGAAGCGTTTAAGTTCATTGCTGATCACCCATTCGTGTTTGTCCACTGTCAAATAAGGATATGTGACGCAAGTAACCCTGGATCAAGATGTGCACAGGGATGTATCAAGGAAGGCAGATTAAGACGTGACGTTAGCGATGAAGACAAATTATACCCACTGGCACAGGGACCCCTCACAATTACAAGTGACGCAACAGAAATGAAATCAAGAAAAAGATCAAATAAAAAAGGTACATGTTCCTTTGATACAATCATTCACAATTTTAGATAGTAAGAGGAAAGTGTCTGTCTCTGATCTACATTTCGTGATTCAGAGAAAAGTAAATCCGGTTAAGAAGAGTAAGGATGTGCTTAGTTTATAAGCAGCTTACTTCAAGTACCTTCAGATTTTCTCACGAACGAAGTTTGGCCAAGATCATTATGTTTGCCCAGACTACTTACTAACTGCTTTCGGCTCTTATTTTTACCCCATTAATCCAATAAAGCTTCAACCTCCAAAACGCTAAAGAATTTCAATTTTAGAATTTCAATATTTCGCAGAGATCTCAACCAATAAAGGAAATACGTATTCCACCGATAAAATACTCCTTCAGCATAAATAATTTTACAGACACGACTTCAAGTTTTTACACTTAAGCAGTTAACTTCTTATCGACATTGTTGACTTGATATCTAACGAAAAATTTTTTGTTTAACATTTCAGATATGACTGTACCAGCTCTGGTTACCATGGGAATACTATCAGCGCTTTGCCTGATGGGAATGGCTTACTTGTCTCGCAAGAATACAAGCAAGGCCACCGCCTACACTATTGTTCCAGAAAGCTGCGACGAATAAATCAGTTGTATTGGAACTAAATTTACAAAAGATTACGAGAATAAAGATAAAATTAGATGGAATAATTTCTCTTGTGTTTGAATATTTTACTTCCTATCTGTTATTACCTTTTCTCTCTTCGCTTGAAAAATTTCTGAACGATTGGGTTGGGATTTTCCAGTGAGGCATTAGAACTCCTGCCATGTCTCGGACTAAAAGAGCTCAAATTCAACTTCCTTTAAGTGAGTGTTCCTTGCACTGCTACAACATAAATCCCATATGTTTTACACATTTGAAATACCTGACTTGAATAAGCAGAAATAAGACAGTGCACAGAGAAGTTTAACCCCATTTCATGACCCCATCTAATTGCTAGACGAGCCTTACTAAAAAAAGTTCTTTCTTGAACAATTTTTCCATAGGCTCAATTAGTTGACTGAAATGAAGGTTCTTTTGACTTCTTTTGCTATTGTCGGTAGTCCATTGAAACAACATGCTAAAAGCCACTTATACTAATTTTACTTGCCGATTGCTAAGAGTGCATAGTGCTTTCCATTTAATCCAATTACAATACCAATACAATTCCAAGAATGAGTAATTCAAAGTACAGGTATCCTAAGCTCACCCGCGCTCATGTGAGGAGGCCCTTGTCCAAACCAGTCCTGTGGGAGTTCGACTCTTCTCTTATGCAAATTCGGTCTTTCTTTCTTTCTAATAAATTTGCATAGCCGCTCGCCACGTGAGTGAAAACGCTCCACACGAACCAGTGTAGGCTGCGAGTTCAGGGGAAAATTTAACCTGCTCGTAGACTAACACCAGTGAAGCAATCAAAACTCACCGCGATTCTTGAGACAGCCTTTCTTTCAATTTACTTGTCGTCAAGAATAGTCGATAAAACGATGATGTGGTAAGTACAAATGATATTGGTTGTAAAGTTCCTAGTTGAACAACGCCGGGATAAGCATTATTTGGACAACTCAAATGCATGTGCATCTAAGATTGGATTCATAATTTAGCTTTAATTGGCTGCGTTCTCCAGTAAGTCCATAAATTTATTGAAGTCAACGCGGGGAATTAAACTTGCCTTTTTTTTATTTTGAAAGCTGGGGTCTGATTATATCATCAACAACAACAACAACAACAAAACATTTATTATCGTAATTTCTTGGCACCTAGTTAGTCAAAATACATGGCCAATTAATCGGCTGTATCTGACAAATGTTTCGTAAATGTGTACTGTCGCACTGTTACATCTGAGGCAATTTGTTATGAACCGTGTCACACTTTGTGATAAAAAAGCTGTCCAAAATCCATCGCACTTTGTAACATCTGTTATTATCATTTTTATTATTAATTATTATCATTATTATCATGAATTATCATTACTATTATTATTGTTATTATCATCGTTATCGTCATTTATTATTATTATTATTATTATTATTATTATTATTATCGCTGAAGTGATTAGAATTAGAAGTTAAGATGGTTACTGATGGACAGCAATGGTAATGCCTTCAATCTGGATTAGTTTAGTCATCATAGCTTGACACAGCCTCGTTCCCAGTCGTCCTCGGCGATTTCGTATGTGACGTCACCAGTCAAGCTTGTCGGGAAAATTCGCCGAGGACGGCTGGCAAATAATGACAAATCCAAAATGGCGGTACCGAGCCACGACTTTAGCCAAATTCTTGAAGAAATGCAAAATGCATCGGAAACAGGTTGGGTTAGTTTAGTCAACGTTTGCTATGAAATCTGTAAAGTTGTTGGAGAATTTTCGTTCAAGGAATCTATGGTTGATGAAATAAACGTGGATTTTTATGTTCAACAAATAGTCCCATCTCAGCAGCTCAAGAACTGTGTTCAGTTGAATTCGACTGGCTATCTCGCTCGGCTTCAAGCCTCCTCTGGTAACTCGGATAGCGCGAACAGGCCTGGATACGAGGCTGAGCTTGACCGGTTAATTCAAATAGTCAGGTATGCTAAAATCTTTGAAAAAATGATGTCGCGCCTTGAATACGAAATTTCCAAGAGAAAAGCTTTACAATTGTATTTAAGTTAGCAAAATTTTACTGATTTTTACATTTTATTCCGTAAATGCAAAGGAACTTTTTCTGTATTTGAAATGTTTTCTTGCAAAAAAACTATGATCGTAATTTTATCTTGACTCGCATCAGGGTAGAAAACATTGAAAAGCATCTTCAATACTATCTCAACCGAAAGTGTTCTCTCTATGTATAATCGGAGTTTAACTTATACAAAGGTTAGAATAGCCAGGAAAATTTTTCCGTCAACCAGCAGCTGATCTATGATTAAGAAGTACAAACGTAGAGCAAATGCAGAAAAGACCGATAGGAGCTCCTCAGATTTTACATTTGGGTCGGAAGAGCCCCTAGGTGGAATGATGATTAAGTTAGTAAGGTAGTAAATAGTCACCTTTGCCCAGTAAGGATACGTTAGGCATTTCAATGAAACCACCCAAAACATTTGTACTGAGAGATTAACTTTGCGGCATGTCTCACCTCATGAGTATCAACCCAGAGCGTTTTAAGTGATCTCCATGCATCGTATAATTGTCATTGCATTCAAACCACAAGCGTTAGCATAACCGAATTTTATAAGTCGTCTAACTGACAAACTATAGTTGAAAATTCTATGTCTTAGTACATTTAACTGGAGCGGAAATGAAAGCAATTTTCTTAAGTTCGGTGCTTGATGACGTCACCACCTCTCGAACGAAAGGAACAACACTTACCCAATGGCTTCAAGACTGTTACTGCTGGGATGAAGAAGAACCCTTTGATTGGGAACCCTTCTATCTTAGGGCACCACGGTGCAAAAAAAGCGTCAATTTGATTGAGTTTCAATTTAAACCCTTACCTGGACGCATACCAACCAATGGTTCTTACTTTAAAAAGGACGAAAGAGGTAACAATTCATCAGAGACGCTAATTCATCTTTTCTAGTCATACCATGTTGCATCCTCTTTTTGGAAAAGCTTAATGTGACTGATTGGCTTCAAGAAAATCTTCCGAAAAACTCGGCAAATACAACTTTTAATCTTGATCAGCACTGCACTGGGATTTAGGCCGGAACCTCATTCTACAGAATACTCTCTTCAATTAAACTACTCTCTCCTGCCAAAATGGATGTAACACCACTAAGTTTGCACATTTTCTACGCCTAGTTACTTCAAGATCTATTTAGAGAAAAAAGTAGGGGAAACCCAAAAATGGAATTTTCTTGCAGATAGCAGTAATATAATTAATTTTAGCTCTTGATATCGATTGTTTTCTTTTCCTTGAGAGACAAATACTGAAAAATATGTGAAAAAATTGTATACACTAGAACCCCGGTAACTCGAACTCTGAAGGGAAACGAAAAACGTTCCAGTTAGCGGGAAATGTTAGTTATCGGGGTAAATTTCGGTGAAATTTTGATCAAGGGAAAGGTAATTTAGTTCGAGTTAGCGGGAAGTTCAAGTTGTCCGTGTTCGAGTTTTCAAGGTTCTACTGCATCTGTCTATAAGTAAATGGAAGTCCTCTTACCTTTTCTACAGCCATCCTTTTT